GCTGATCTGCCACATTCCGAGAGGCCTTTAGGATCCTCTTCTGGTGCCGCCAAGGGAGATTCCGCTGAGTGAGATAGCCGAAAAGGCTGGGATCCACAAACCTCTCTCACTGCTTACAATTCTACTACCTGAAGCAGGTTTCGTCTTCCCTTCTCCTTCTTTTGTGTCAAACCTTCCACCACCTTCTCAACGAGCCTTGGCGTTTTTAACGCTGTGCAAGATCGGTCAGCGACTGAGTGACCTCCAGACGGATGTGAGCTACTTTGGGCTCTGCCTAAGGAAGAGGTTTGTGGATCCCAGCCTTTTCGGCTATCTCACTCAGCGGAATCTCCCTTGGCGGCACCAGAAGAGGATCCTAAAGGCCTCTCGGAATGTGGCAGATCAGCAACTTCGTGAGCTCTTTGAGCTCGCTGATGTGTTGTGGAAAGGTGTGTTGGGTGAGGGGTTCCGCAGTTCTGTGGAGTTCGACGGTTGGAACTCTCTTCGGCTTGCAAGCTTTCGTTCCTCGTGGGCCGCCAAGAAAAGAGAGGTCTTGAAGAAACAAGACTCGACGAGGAATAGGTCAGCTTTTTCGGCTTCTGTGGAACGTTTTTTCAATCCTGAAAGTGTTGTACTGTCTCAGACTTCTCAGGCAATTTTAAATGAAGGTCCAAAGTTTTGCCTGGATGTGAAACCGTCACGGTTTGATTTGTGCTCGAATGTGCATGCTATTAGTACCAAAATTCCTACGCCAGAGGATAGAACGACTTTTGTAAATCATTCCTTGAGCAAGCTGAGCGTTCTGGTAGATTCGTCCTTCCCGGTTGAGCAAAGAAATTTGAGGAGAGTGTCGGCTTTGAAAAGGGAGTTGAAAGATAACTCTTTGACCCTGCTCCAGACTGACAAGAGTGGCTTGTTTGCAGTGCTGTCGGATGGTATTTTTAATGAGAAAGCTTTGGTGGCTGTTTCCGAGTTATTTGTAAAGAGTGATGAAAATGTTGCGGTTCTAAAACGGGATGTGTGTAAGATTTTGGCAGAGGAGGACATCACGGCTACGCTAAACAGAGTGAGGGGCGCTTCACGCTCTTCTTTTGGTTTAAAGTTTTTAGTAAAAGATCATAAAGTAGATTTCCCCTTCCGTGTGGTAATTAACGAAAATGGTTCTTCGCAGAAGTCGCTTGCGGTTTTCCTTCAGGGATGTTTGGGCCATGTCACTCTGGAGGGCAGTATTGCCCTTAAAAACTCGGAAGAATTAATCGAGGGCATTTCTCCCCTGCATCGCAGCTCGTGCACGTTGATGTCCCTGGACATCAAAGATTTGTATTATTCTTTAGATAGCGTGTTGTTGCTGGAAAGGGTTAGGGAGCTTTTAGAAAATAATTTGGTCTCTTTTCAGGCCAAAGCGGGTATTTCTGTAGATGCGGTACTGGAGCTTCTGACGTGCTATCTGAGGGCAACTGTGCTTAACTTTAATGGTGACAGTTATATACAGCGGAAAGGTGTATGCATCGGTTCGGCGGTGGCTCCCGTGTTGACTGAGTTTTATCTTAACACTCTTGACAAGAAAATAACAGATTTTATTGGCTGTTTGGATGGAGAAAGGTTTCTGGTTCGGAGGTTTGTTGATGATATCTTGGTTTGTGCTCCGAATCAGCTTTTTGCTACTCAGATCCATGATTTTATTTTGACCGCTGCACCGGAATTAAAATTCACCTCTGAATCAGCGAAAGATGGGAAGTTACAGTTTTTGGACTTGCAACTATTTAATTAAGGGGGGCTTTGTTGGTCTTATGGTAGGGAAACCGTAAAGAAGGTGCTTTCTAGATGGAGTGCTCATTCTAAACTGGTAAAAGGGGGGATGGTGAGATCATTGATTGGCAGTGCACTAAAAAAATCTTGTTCTCATTGTGTTGGTAACGCTTTCGACGTTCAAACCCAACGTCTACTGTCAGCGGGTTATAGTTTCGATTTTATCGTTTCTAGTGCACGTAGACTGCTTGTACGCGCGTCAGTGACCGCTGTGAGGGTTCAAGGTAGAGCTTTTGCTGTAATTCCTTATTTTCATGGTTTTTCTCATAGCCTAAAGGCCTTGGGTGCGAAGTTTAACGTTAATGTAGTTTTTAGGACGGACTTCCGTTTAGACAGGCTTACTCCGTTTTCCTTCAGACGTGAGCGATGTTGCGGGAAAAAACACAGAGATCCCTCAGTCTCCTGTGTCACAGAGGTAGTCTACAAGATCCCCTTTGACTGTGGATTGTGTTATGTTGGTCAGACGGGCCGTTGTTTGAATGACCGACTTGGGGAGCATAAAAGGTGTGTAAAAAATTTGGCGCAGAATTCTGAATTGGTTAATCATGTTAGTTCTTGTAATTTTTGTTCCCCTCTTTGGGAAAAGACTTCTGTGTTGTGTAACGAAAAAGAATTGTTTAGAAGGCTAATTAAGGAGACTTTATGCATTCGCGAGCGGGGGAATTGTGTCAGCCAGCCGTCCTTGGTGATCACTGATCGAATGAAAGTGTTTTTGCTTGTTTGAAGGGAGCTTTGTAAACCTTGAAAAAGGCGCCCATTGGACCACAAATGTCCCACGGACATCCTGTTTAGATCCCAACGTCCGGGTCCCAAACTGGATGTCCGAGGGACAAACATAAGATGCCTTTTTTTGGCTATCACCGAAGTCCAATTTCTCTACTCCGTTGGACGTCCTGCAAATGTCCACTCATGGATTTGTCGGATAGGTCCCGTGCGTGATATTTTTGGGACGCCCGTTTTACCAATGCATTATTTCGGCATTGCACGTCTACAAGATGGATATTATATGGCCCAGCCAGGGGCTCCAGAGGTATATCTGATGTGTGGGAGCGACGTCTGGGGGCTCATGTCACATCATGTAGTTCACCTCTCTCTCGCTGTGTGTGTGTGTGTGTGTGTACACACACACACACACGCACACACACACACACACACACACAGCGAGAGAGGCTGTTGAAGTTGCCGGCCCCGCAGTGAGGGTGTATATATATATATATATATATATCAGGCACGTAGCCAGGATTTTGGTTCAGGCCATGACAAAATGCTGTATGAGGGGGAGGGGGGAGAGGAGGTCCCAGCAAAATGAAAGATTTCGGGGGGGGGGGCCCGGGCCCCATGGGCCTCCCCCCTGGCTACGTGCCTGATATATATATATAACGGGCATGGTGGCGGGAGGCCGTAGGCGTGGGTATATAACTGAGAGAAAAAAAACCTTAGTGAAAACAGCAACAACGGACGATTTATTTTTCAACGTTTCGGCCGGAGTCTGGCCTTCCTGATGAAGGCCGGACTCTGGCCGAAACGTCGAGGAATAAATCGTCCGTTGTTGCTGTTTTCACTAAGGTTTTTTTTCTCTCAGTTATATATATATATGTATATGGACCACTGACGAAGTGCTGTGCAGAGAAATGAAGGCTGTAGTCTGATATCGGAGGCTCCAACGAGCGGAGGCTCCAACGCGGTATAGCCTGCTGTTGGCACTTTCCGCACATGGTTTGTCTTTCGCGTCGGATTAGCCTGTGACGCCTTGTCGCCTATGGAGTGCAACTTTAACATGCAACAGCCTCATGGTAGTGGGACGGAAGGAGAGGGGGGGGGGGGGGAGGGGGGCAGAGGGCAGCCGGTCGGTACTGTTTTGCATGTGGAGGCATGCCAGGCATGTTCCCACTGGTATAGAACCTGTGAGGGCGACTGCTCCTACCGCCCCCCATACCCCCGGGTTCCGGAGTCCCTGGGCCCAGCCATATCCTCCTCGCCGCAGCTGTCCTACAGAGGCTGGAGCTGTCCCGAGCCCCGGCGTCCGCCCTGACCCCCGAGCACCCGACGCGAGTCACGGAGTGTTGAAAATAATAGTTTATATTTTTCTATTACTTTATAAGTGTGCTTGTTGTTTTTTCCGTTTGTTTTTGTTTACTCCATTCAGCGATTGTCTTGTTTTTTTTTTAGAATAACGTTCGTAACTTTAGCGCACGCTAGAGCTAAATTTAGCGCTTGCGTTAGCTCACGCGACGCAAGAAAGTTTTAGAATAGCGTTTCTCCGCCGCGACGCAAAAGCCCAAGCATCTCGCGCTTGCAACGCCACCAAGATACAGTCACGATTTTTATTTCACACACTAAAAGCTGTAACTTGAGAAAAAACAAGCTTTTTGGTCCGGAGTAACAATTTTACATTTGTTTAAACGTGAGAATCCGACGCGAGCGGTCGACCGGTCGTGTCCGCATGCGTCACCTCGGCAAGAGTGCACTGACCTTCGCCGATAAATGTTCGCTCGTCGCAAGCATCAAGTTGTCGGTGATCGTTGCCCACCTTGATGGGTTTTCCGAACCGAGTGCAATGTCGTCCCGTATTGAAAATCGCAGTCGCGAGGATGCCGCCGAGGTCGCACTCACGACGCCGCCAAAGCGGCCCCAGCCACGATCCTGGGGGCCGCCATTTTTTTTAACTGTGCTCGTCTTGGCTTCAGCCGACTTCTCATCACAAATCCTCCTTGGAGGAGCACAAAGACCCTTTGCGTACGCACGAAATTTCTGAGAAATAGCGTGCGCTAAAATAGCGCACGCAAAGCGCAAAACGTGGTTTGCGTTCGACGCATGCGCAGTGCCGACGACGCTATCCTTTGCGTACGCAAAGTTTAGCGTGCGCTATTCTAAAACTCCCTATTGAAGTAGTAGCCGCAAGATCGCCATCGTCGTCACGACTCCTTTGTTCTCGCTCACTCGCCTCGTACAGTCGGCGCTCCCAGGTTCGCGCGCTTTTTTTTTTACAGTTATCGTTTACCACCACGTCGTCGTCCGCGGCAAAGTGAGTATGCCAAGTTGTGTTCATTTTAGCCGGTTGATGTACTGTTTATGTACGAATTCGGATATACCGCCATTTTGTATGTAAGTGTGGCGAAGTGTGGTTCTTGTCCGTATTGGATCTGCTGGTTTCATGTATCATGCCGCGCTCGCTAAGCGCATACGCTTGTGAAAAAGCTGCTCGAGAAACAAGAAGAACTCTTGAACTTCTTGGGTACGCTGGCGACGACGACGCACAGGAGACAGAACATGAGGGTGTTCAAAATTCTCCCGAGCTACCTCCGAGATCCGCCGCCGTTGAAGATACCAGCGAGCACTGCCGCCAAGAGTCCAGGCGCGAAGAAGATTGCGATAAGGCTTGTTCGTTCGGTGAGTTTGTTGAAGGCGGCCTGCCAGGTCTGGGTGCTTCCGAGTGCAGCGAGGCTGAAGAAGGTACAGGCACGCCGGCCGGGTTCCAAGACTCGTTGCGAGAGTGGGCAATAGATCATGGAATTAAGAGAAGGCCACTGACAGCTCTCCTCAAGCTTTTAAGAAGTCGGGGTGGAATGCCCGACCTACCGAATGATGGACGCACGTTGTTACAGACACCTCGCAGACCACATGAGCAATTCCCCATCAGAACTGTGGAACCAGGGAAATACTGCCATTTTGGACTCGCTGCTGGGTTGCAACATGCATTGTGTCATGTGGAGAAGTTGCCAGCTGTACTTTCCCTCACTTTTAACATAGACGGCTTGCCCTTGTCCAAGAGCTCCAAAATGCAACTCTGGCCTATTCAGTGCTTGGTTGGTGGGATTGATGATGTAGCACCATTCCTTGTTGGTGCATTTGCAGGGCACTCGAAGCCAATGTCTTCAAACGATTTCTTAGTTACTTTCGTTGAAGAGCTGCAGGCACTGCTTTCACAAGGTGTCACTGTCAATGGCAGTCTCGTGCAAGTCAAGGTGAGGTCCATCATTTGTGATGCTCCTGCACGAGCCTTCATAACAATGACGAAGGGTCATGGAGGCTACAGTGGTTGCCCAAAGTGCACGGTCGAGGGCTTGTACTTGGATGGAAGAGTAGTGTTCCTTGACATGGACTGCCCATTACGCACGGACTTAAGTTTCAGGCAGCAGCATGATGCAGAACATCACAAAGGAGAGTCCATCCTGTTGAACCTGCCTATCAACAGTGTGCACGATTTGCCCTTGGACTATATGCATCTTGTGCTGCTTGGGGTCATGAAAAAACTGCTTTCATTGTGGACTTCAGGACCACTCGCTGTTCGCTGGGGGCCGCTAGAGCGGCATGCTTTTAACGAGAAAAGCAAGCAGCTGCGTCCTCACATTCCAAGCGAATTCCCGCGAAAGTCTCGAGGACTAGATGAAATAGACCGCTGGAAGGCAGTTGAATTCAGGCTTGTTCTTTTCTACACTGGACCTTTGCTTCTGAAGCTGTGCCTGACAGATCGCCTCTATCAGCATTTTTTGCTCCTCCATGCTTCTCTCTCAATACTTGCCAACCGACAGCTTTGTCACCAGCATGCCAACTATGCTGGTGAACTCCTGAGGTGTTTCGTTTCTGATTTTGCTGAGTTGTACGGAGATCACCATGTATCTTTCAACGTACATTGCCTCATACACCTTGCCTCTGATGTTCAAAGGATGGGGGAGCTTGATTCCTTCAGTGCATTTCCCTTCGAAAGCAACATGCAAGTGTTGAAGAAGCAGCTTCGCAAGCATGGGAAACCTTTGGAGCAGCTGTGCAATCGAATTGCAGAGGCACGGACAAAGACGTGCAGAAAGTCCTCTGATGGTGGGAAACTTGTGGACCTCAGTCATCCTCACTGTGGAGGGCTGCTGTTGTCGGAATGTTGCCCTCCTGAGTACCGGATGCTAACATGTGGGAACTTTAGAATTTCTCTAAGTGAACGGGACAATTGTTTCTTGCAAGATGGCCATGTAGTCATTGCCAGGAACATAGCCCACATGAAAGGCTCAAATGAGCCATGCATAATTGGCCAGGAGTTTCTTGTCAAAGAAGAACTGTACTCTGCACCCTTTGAATCCTCAAGACTTGGCATTTCTGTTGTTTCACACCTGTCTGAGCTAAAGCCATGGCCTTTGCGTAACATCCAAAAAATGGTGAAGTTGCCTTGGGACAGCAAGTTTGTTACTTTGCCAGAACTGCACACTGGTTAACGTCCCTGAATTTGTTACATCATGCGGACTTTGCGGCCTGGCCTAGACAGCAAGTGCAAACAACATCTGTTTCGTGCATTTAGGTTAGTGTTAATGCAAGAGCTAAACTTTCTGAAACTTTCCGTTCAATGTTTAAATTTAGATGACTTGTTTCCATCGTATGTAGACCGCCTGCTTCCTAATGAAAATATCTGATATTTTTTATGTGCTATTCTCCAATTGTCAGTAACCAAAAGTTTCTTTTTTTTTTTTTTTTTTTACAGATGCGATATGCCATTGTTGAGTTCTTGGGCCTTGAGCAGGTTGAGGTCGTACCAGCCTTGTGGGTCGACGATGACCGCTGTGCATGGCCGAAGCATATCAAAGGAGATAAAGTGACAGCAATGGTGAGGAAGGCAGCACCGCCAGATGCATTGTGGCAGCAGTTTGATGTGTCCGTCAAAGGGCTGTTTGGTATGTACTATTTCAAGGAGCATGGGAGCCTTCCTTGGAACCTGATATGATATAAGAAAGCTGACACAACCAACTCTTACTTTTAGCAACATACGAACAAGCACGAAAAAAACTTGAACGCAGCCAGTACACCTCAGACCTGAGCAGCGACAACGAAATGCCCCCAGGCAAGAGAGTGAGAAGGCCGCCTCCCCAATGGTCAGAGTCTGATGCTGACCCAGCACCAGCAAGGCCGACTAAGAAAGTTCAACGGAGAGTTCCCACAGTTCCAAGTGATTTTCCACAAGGTAATTTGACCAGGATCTGACTCCTGTCTGATGCTGTTGAATGACAATGTCATAAATAAGCATAGTCTGCTGCAACCGAGGTGCAACCCAAGACACTTATTTTCCAGCCATGGTCTCTTCTGTTCAAATGCAGAGTAGCAGCTCTACGGGGAGTGAAAGTAAGCACACCTCAACTTTAGTGTGTCTTTCATAGCGTCTCTCGTGCCATTAATGCTATGCTTTCCTATTCAAATTTGTGATATTTGATAGAAGCTTGACTGTGGTTTTGTGTATATGAGGTCCTGACAAAGCTAGGTATGTACCTAGGGCAATGCAGATGTCACTAGCCGACGCTAGTGCCACAGATGGCCCTAGCGTCGGCTTCCATGCAAAGCATTTCATGCTCATACCTACCCTCGGGGAGGAGATAGGCTGCTCTATTTTTATCTCTGTGTTATGACAGTATTAGCAAAGTTTGTGTCCCTAAATTTTATATATAATTTTCTCTTGTTAATTTGGTGCTGTACTCCAGATCATGCAATGTTTGCATAATCTGATGGCCATCAATAGCCAAGTCTTTTCTTTTTTTCTTTGTTTTCGTTACGCTTTAGATGCAGGCAACCTGCCTGATCACCCAGGGAGCAGTTCTGATGACCCCTGTGTGCACGGTAAGAGCCTTTTGTACTGTCTAGTTTTGAATTTTTCAAAAATAAAAATCCTTATCACTTAGGTTGCAATTAAAGGTTCCCTCTCGCCTGTTTCTAATCCAAGGAGAAATATTCACTATCAAGTTCTTAGTGCAGATATGGACAGCTTTCAGCAGAGCATTAATTCCCACTGCGTTTGTGCGCTCTACAGGTGACAGGCAATCACGAGCATCCTCTTTTGAAGCCTTCGATGACTCCAACCTTACAGACATAGGTAAGCATTTAAAATAGCATGCCACTTTTTCCGGACCGTAGTCTGTGGACTATACATGCCTAGAAAGCTCATATTTTACACTGTGCGGACTATCTGAGAACATGAGCATATACCTATGTTCCCAGGTTTCTAAATTTATGTCCATTCTTTTGCGAAAACCCACTGCTACTAGCAAAGCCTGCTTTGCTTGTAAGAAATTAATTTAAAAGTAATTAAATTATATTTACTGTATGCAGTGTAAAACATATATAAAGGTGGCACAAGATATGAAATCAAGCGAGTGTTTTGCTCTTGTATTCAACAATACAGTTTATTTCATTTTTCATCCTATACTATCTGCAACTTATAAGCAAGTTTCAGGCAAGTAACAGTTTTTTTTTTTTTTTTTCAGTTACAGACATTGGGGGCTCACAAGAATCAGTCTCTTTTAATGAAGGTATTGTTAAATCTTCAAGCCCTCTCTGAGTAGTTAACGTTGGGGCTGGGAAATTAATTTAATACATTAATGGCTCACTAAGTCTCAAGTGATTAATCGTTAACTTGAATTTAATGTCAGTTGAGCAGGTTGATCTACTGGCAATTGTCCCGTTCAAACTTCATCACACTCTGCAGTTGACAATTTTTGTAAAAATTGGTGTCTTACTGACAATGTGTCAAAAATATACATAGGCTTTTCTAAATGCTACATATGAGAAAGCTCTCCGAGAATAATTGAAATATTCAAAGATAGGTTGGCATCCATATTTTAAGCTCTGGCACTTATGTCAAGCTTCACTGCTTTGCACCAATGTTGTAGGGTGAACTTTCACTGTCTTGAACAGGCATACCCTGAGAAGTGGCCGACGCGGTTGAACACCTCTGTTTCATGGTCCCGCGGAAATTTTGCTATTATAGGTTTAATTTCATTGGATACAATTCATTATAGGTTGCCTCATAATTTTATATTGTGGTGCCAACGAAACAATATTGACCTATATGCGTATAGCAATGATACACAAATATCCTGAGTGTTATTGATACTTGTGAATTTCTAGGGCATCAGGCAAGAGGGAGAGAGGATCCACAAGACCAGGGTAACTGCTTTTAGCATTTATACTGAAACAGTTGCATCCAGTGGACCTTTTCTGCATTAGATCCTAAGTTCATATCAATGTATCAGACAGTGAAAGCTTGGCACAAGGCATTCTTTCTACACACCTAGGCCAGTTGATAGAGAGACAGTCCGATATAAATTTTGTCATGATCGGATAGTTAAGCAAATAAGGCTGAAATTTTTCATTGGTATATAACTCTTGCGTCCTTTGTACCTTTCACACTATTTGTTTCTTCTTTAACTATACAAAGAGGGCCAAAGAAATCTAACCCACTTTAAGAAAATCACAAAAATCAGTTTCACATTTATAGACACTGTAATTTACAACATGTGTTCAGCTAGGCAGTGAATTTGTTTTATAAACATTTTGAAGAAAAAGCTTTCCTCAGTAAGTTGCAAATAAAAATAATAAATATCCTATCGTCTAGCATGGAGTTAAGCCTATTCCAGACCGGAGCTTAAAAACATTGTTGTGGGGCATTTATCAGATGAACTGGGTGACGAAAGCAAAGTGACAATGGTCTCCTTTCCTACACTACCTGTGTTAGCTTCCTAAAACGCCCCAATGGCCTGCAACAACGTTTTCAAGTTCCGATCCGCAATAGGCCTAAACCCATGTATGTCCATAAAAAAAATGTAGTTTTTATTAATAACTTTTTACTGATAACAGTTTTTTTTCCACAATAAAAAAAAACGCAGTGTCTAGCGTTACGTTCGACGGAACCCGAAATAAAAATTAAAGTTACGTCCGACGTAACTTTACGTAAGGATTCGAGTTACGTCCGACGTAACCCAATATGTAAATTAAAGCTACGTCCGACGGAACTCCAAATAGATAATAAAGTTACGTCCGACGCAACTTTACCTCAAGGTTTCGAGTTACGTCCGACGGAACCCAATGTGAAAATTAAAGTTACTTCCGACGGAACTCGAAATAAAAAATAAAGTTACCCCCACCCTCTGCCCGTTTCGACCTGGATGAGTTTCGTACTGGCGTAGGTCGTGGCGGTCGTGGTACCGGCACGCCTTCATGTAATTACCACTGGTTAGCGGTTGTACTGCAACTTTCTCATCTACAGCTTCTCAGGCTCGGAGCACGCGTGCTGCGGTTTCCATTTTTAATGTTTTTCTTTTCTTTTGCGTGTCGCACCTAGGAGGAAGTGGGTTCATATCTAAAAGCAAATCGAAAAAAAAGAAAATTCCTCTTAAAGGGCACATGAAAAGAAAAAAATTTTTTTTTAAACGGCTTAGATGGAAAAAGGATCTCATAAAACGATTTTACAACGAAGAAAAAAAAATTTTAGAGCTATATTTACGGCGCGAGATGATTTTTTGTCAAGCGCGGTGTAACGCTCCTCCTTTCCACTTTTCTCTCTCGCGCCTGTGCGCTCCGCGGGGAGGCGAGGTAAGCCGCTTGGATTGGCTTGGCTGCTCGGCTAGAAAACGTGCCACTTCCTTTCAACTTCGGCGCGCACTGTGTTGTTGGGTTTGTGTGCTGGTGGTGGAAGCGGTGGTAGTCTGCTCCGCGTCTTTTACGATGGATCCCGAGTTGAAGCGCAGACTCCTCGACCGGCTCGGGCAGCTAGGGCTTCGCCCCTACGAGAACACGCCTCGCAGACCAGGGAACCCCCCTGCGGAAAGTTTGGAGGCCAGCGATACGCCTGCGGACAGCGTTGCCGGCGGGTCGCGGCTCCCGCCCGAGTCTTCGAGTAGACTCGAAGACACGCAAATGCTCGTCTGCCGGTACCGCATGTTTACTGAAATCCTCCTGGTCACGATCACGAGAACTGCAGCCTTTCGTCGAGCAGCGGCGTCGCTTTCGTTGAACCGGCATGTCAAAAACAACACCGCGCCGACCGTGCTCCGCGCCCCTTCGGAGAAAAAATGGCGGTCTTTGTTTAGTTTCGTAAGCGTCAAAACGGAAGTGATGATTTTCTTATACTTAAAGTTTCTCAAAAGTCAAAATATTTTGTTACAAAATAAGTGCAACAAAAAAATAAAGAAAATAAATAACTTTCAAAGACCATAGAAAGCTTTCGAAAGAGCTGAAGCACCACGTGATAAATAAGGGCCAGTCACGTGATAAATATGGGCCACTTTTCCGCGGGGCCCGCGGGCGCCAACTACAAATTCGTATTACGCCGTAAATATAGCTCTAAAAATTTTTTTTCTTCGTTGTAAAATCGTTTTATGACATCCTTTTTCCATCTAAGCCGTTTAAAAATTTTTTTTTTTCTTTTCATGTGTCCTTTAAAGGAGACAAAATTCGCAGAAAGGAAATGAAAAAACGAGAAAAAAAAAGTGTATGTAACGGGTATCGAACCCGTCGGGCCTACGCAGCCTCTACATACGAGGAACACACTCCAACCCCCTCGACGAATCTGGAGATACAAATAGAGCCGCGATTTTGACCAATTTATCAACGCTGCATTGGACGTCATGTAGAAGTAATTATATATATTTTTATGTTTACGTCGTGTTTCGGCCACAAAGCGTAACATTCAATAAGGTTCCGTAGGTTACACAGGCCGTAACTTATTTCCGTCGGACGTAACTCGAAACCTTAGGGTAAAGTTACGTCGGACGTAACTTTAATTTTTATTTGGAGTTCCGTCGGACGTAACTTTAATCTTCATATTGGGTTACGTCAGACGTAACTCAAAACCATGACGTAAAGTTATGTCAGACGTAACGCTAGACACTGCGTAAAAAAAATGTATTACCTAGGTGGACCCTTGTAGTAAATTAGACTATCACAGGATGAGAGACTGATTTTTATATTTTACTGCGATAGCAGTTATTGGGAGCCTTCCAATAAAATCCTCCCTACGCCTATCGCAAAACAATCGTGGTTCTGTGATGGCCTCCTAGATGGTGCTATGGTCCCGCTGGATCTACACAAAAAACAAGTGCAGTTCTGCAGCCGTCTTCTAGATTGCATTACGGGTTCCATCACTCTACACTCTAGTTCCAGCATACAATGGCAGCGCCCCCTTCCTCGCTAGTTTTCCGGTTTGCCTGGGTATGTTGCATGCTCATTCTAACTTCCATTGTGTTGCATTGCGTGGCGGTCTTCTCAATGATGCACGACGCATATACGAGGTAATTGCATAACATTCCTAAACGTTCTATTGCATTTCCGCTGTTCTCACAGTGATTCATGTCACGCCTCAGTGTGATTATGACAACTTTTTTAATGTGGGTTAGATTCCCTTGGCCCTTGCTACATATTAACATAATGAATTCTTAGCATGCGACAAAATATTTTGTAGTTTGTCGTCGTTCAATTTTGAATTCAGCCTCTATATATTTTTATGTTCATTGGTGAATCATGCAATGCCTAATATGAATGATCATGTAAATTATGTTTTAATTAATTGTTTCCTTTATAGAACAAGGGTTCAAGCAGCACGTCTTGAGGCTCCTCAACATTGTCCGTTTCACGGTCCAGCAACATGGGGAAATGCTGAACAAGCTCTGTGAGGTCCTTCCAAGCCATGCAGTCGTCGTACGCCCCCGTCTCGTCGAACAACCGTTCAACAAGCTAGACGACCTCTTTGCCTTTGACAAGACGTTGGTGAACGAAAAGGCGGCGATGCTTGTGAGCACTTTAATACAGCTACACAGAGTCAACAATGCTGCATTTTCTAAAAGAAGGTGCTATACACTGCAGGGCAGTTCAATGAATGTCTACCTACACGTGATGAGATTCTCTCTAAATGAACCCGAGTAGAAGTGCCAAAATTTGGCAACTTCGTAAATTGCCTTTTAAAAGTCTGGCTGTGCTTTGGGTTCTACATCTGCATGGCATTGTGATGCAACAGTTGCATATGGCTGTAATATCTGAATGCATGGCAACTCTGTCATGCATCTTTTTGCTGCATGGTTCCACCATAAAAGGAACTATGCAACATATTGCTTTTCAGCAATATCTTCATGTCTTATACAAGGTGTTTCAGCTAACTTGTGCCAAGAGTAAAAAAAAAACAAAAACGCTGGTGCATGCTAAGCCTGTTGAACCAGCACAGTATTGTTCACGGTCCTTCAGGCCGAGTCATAATATTTTTTGCGATGCGACCGGAAAACCTGGAATTGTCAAGGAATTTTGGATCATCTGGGAAAGTAAGAATTGTCAGGGAAATCGTCAAGACTCTGGCCAAATCAGAGAAAAAGGCCAGTGCGAGTGATGCGGTGGTGTGCAATGAAGCCCAAGAGTCGTGCATTGACGTGGCTGCGCTAAATAACATTGCCAGGAACTTTGTTAAACATGACCTTTTTTATAGCAACATAAGGACAAATTTCATTACATTATTTTAAATTGTGAGCTTATTCATATATTATGTGTTTAATAGCAGTTGTAATATTTCAACACTTCTGTAACGGTCGGGGAATTTGATCGAAATAGTCAGGGAAAACCTGGAAAAGTCGGGGATTTAAAGAAAATATTTTGCTAGACACCGCGGTTCATAAATAACTTTTTAAATATATATTTGGGTGCAAACCCCCAATATAAACATTGTAGAGCATGCTGAGATACTCCTAATCAGGTTGTTTCCATGAGGATGGCCTTTGTGTGTCTAATTTTATTAAGCTCTAATGAAGGCGCACGAGATTCTTAAAAAATCTCACGTGGCTATTTGCTAGCGTGCTGTGATGTTATCTCTGTTCTACCCCACCTAACTAAGATTATTCAGTCCAAACATAAACACTGTCATGCATTTTATGCAGGTCCAAGAATTCAGGGAACTCGGAGGGAAAACGGCCAGCAAGGCGACAAAGAGCATGCTAGCGCACCTGCTCGGCGACCAACTAGCTGCACAGTTTTCGTGGGTGGGCCGGAAAGGCAAACAGAACTTCTCGTCCTTGAGGACTGCCACTGCAATTGTGGGTAAGTTAATATATCTACACTTTCTTTTCTATTACTCAGGCCAGTGGCGAAACATGCATGCCCCTCCAATTAATCCGAGCCTGGCCCAGCATCTTTTTGATATCAGCCCCCCCAGAAAGGTTGTCTGTAATCTGGGCCTGTCCATAATTAGGCTTGCGAGGTTAAAGGGGTGCTGGACTGAAATTTGTATTTTAGAAACCAGGGCAGCAAAACCGTCAGACAGGACACTGCGAACCCCCCGAAACATTACTTGTGCAGCAATATCTCAAGCGAATGGCCGTATTTTTTAGGGGCGCGTGACGTCACATTTCTAGCTAAAAAAGTTTGGAGGATAGGAAGCAGGCTCGCTTGTGCAGCAGGGAGGTGAAGCCCCCCCCCCCCCTTCCAAAAAAAAAAAAAAGAAGCAAGGAATGCATCGTCGCACGCCTAATTGCTACATGAATTTAGCCACCCATTTGCTGTATGATTCACGAATAATGGTTTGTAGCGTCCCACCTAGTTTTGTGATATCAGTATTTCTGTTCAGCATCCCTAATAATTATATTCATTAAGTTTTATGCTTGTTATGGTCTTTGTCAGCTTTATCCCAACATAGCTTTCACTGCTTCGAAATAAATTTGTCCACCCTTTATCTGAAAAGGATGCAGATGGTCAGTGGATGTTCTACAGCTGTGTCATCTAAGGCAATCAATAGGGAGGGAAGTGCATGTGACCCATCTGGCCCGAATGCTTAGAAAAACTAAACATTTGTTCTGTGCTGGGGTTTAACCTCAAGACTCCAACGGTCTTTTTTATCTGTTGGTGGACCTTCTTTACAAAAATTGTGTTTATAATAATAAGCAAAAATGCATCTATTTCTCCAATTGTTATCAAACTGGCTGTCGAAAGTCCAGACATTGGGTTGATCTATTGACGACGCAGTATTCAATGGGAACACTCACATTCATTGTGTGAGGCATCACAGATATTATGTTATTCATACACACTTATTAATTTCAGCTGCTGGAAGGCAGCTGCCGGGAGGAAAGGATGCCATAGAAGAAGCCATCAAGTCGTGGCTCCGTCACGCACCTGAGCGCATGGCCGGAAAAAAAGAAAACCGAAGAGAAGTCGACCAAGCTGACGGTATGCTTCCTGCCAGTCTGTAGTGTAAGGCTTCCAAAGCTTTGTCGCTATAGATGCCTATGGGCTACAGCATGCGAGGTCGTCATTATTTCATGGGCAGTGCTTCCTTCAATAAATTATTGTAATTAATCATTCATATAACTGCCACAGTATTTCTTTAATACAGTAGAATGTTGGGCATCCCCCAGTTGGGGCAGTAGCTACGCCGTTTCAGAATGGCTGGAGATTGTGTGCTGAATTCCCTGCCAAGGCAACTGCATTTTCATGAGGGGAGATCCTCAGATGCCTAGGAATATCTAGAGCGTGCCACCGTGACATTTCCTATACCTCATAGCTGTGCCGAGTCATGATCATATTTAATTTTTCATCTTGATGTATAATACACTTGCAATAAACCATTTATTGCTAGTCCACTTTTTGGCAGAGTAGCCTTACAGTTAGAAAATTGCATACACATGGAAATGTAGAATAAAGGCAGTCCTATTACAAGGTGCGCACTTGTACTACTCACGGTTAGTAGTTGTCTTATTGGCCCTGTTGCAAGGTGCCAGCCTATGTTTTGGTTTCCAACGATCCTATCTTGTTCAATGGGGTCCAGCACTTCTCTTCATACACATAGTTCGCAATCTAGTTCATGGAAGTCGGTGGATAGTAAACAAGTCCGTGCTAGGACCAAATGATGCCTGTGTGCTTGGAATTTGATCTCAGTGCATTTGGTTATTAATATGTTATTTCAAACTTTCTATATTCACAATCTGTCCTCGTGTTCAGGGAACGCTTCTCTCAAACACAACTTTTTCTATAATACTATACTATTCTGTTTGTATTCATGAGCCAGACGTGCAAGCAATACATTGTTCGGATCAAAATAAAAATTTCAAAAATGTTTGTATCGAAAATTATATAGAAATTTTGATGTGTGTTTTTCAGAAATAAGTTGGTAGTGGAAGAGTAAGAAGGGACTTGTATGACTGTCATATAGGACCTAAAACACCACATTGAATTTTTTGAGCACATTCTTGTTTGTGCAAACCTTTTTGTGTGTCGCCTGGTTAAGACACTTGTCATTCCTCAGATCGCCATCTATAAGCCACCATCGTGCTTGTTTAGCATGGCCTCTTCAGCCTTTTAGTTCAATGCATAGCAGCTGAAGTTCTTCTGTTGACTGGTCATTTTCTCACTTTTATGGAGCACACCATAGTTATTTATACTCACTTAACCTCAGTTAGAAGGGCTAGTATGCAAGAAACACCAAAATAAACTCTAGTGACTTTTTTCTTTGAATTTCCAGATTCCGAGTAAACGGAGCCAGCAACCGGATCTGCAACACCGTCCGACGACTGCAGCAAGCCGCACCAAGGCATTTACTTGTCTTTTTATTTTTATTTTGAAGTAGTGACAATGGTTTTTGTTGTTTTATTCATTGGAGAGGCCACTTCTTTGTTATCTAAGTGCACCTTTTAGTCATTCACAGCTTGTTTGTAGTTTGGTTGTCTAATTTTCTTGGACCTTTTACCTCCCGATATGCCAGCAAAGGAGGCTGAGCATAACAGCGTCCAACACTGCCAGGTGGCCCATAGTTTGTCTCCATCTAAAGTGGACCGCAGCAGACGCTTTAAGCCATCGCACCAATCTAGTTGCAGAGGCGTGACATATAAACTTGCAGTTGAACGCCAGATTATGTGGCGCTTGTAAAGGCCCGTTCACACTCTTGCGACCGAGTAAGTCCAAGAAAGACAAGACCGATTTTTAAGCCTCTTACAACGTTTTAGGACCGGATGCGCTGCTGCGGAGCTGGTCCTAAGACGTCGTAAGAGGCTTAAAAACCGGTCTTGTCTCTCTCGGTCGTACTTGGTTGCAAAAGTGTGACCGGGCCTTTTGTGTCAATTTCTCCAAGCTAGATTGTCTTCGGCGGCTTGTAGCGCCCGCCTCTGTTCATTTTAGGATGTGACAAAGTGTTTGAACTCTGACAGTGTTGAGCATTCTAGTCTTCTAGGGAAGGGCGGGGAAAATGTGCTTTTCATTTCATTTCACTTCTGTTTTCTGAATAGTATATAAATGACACCAAGCAACATTTATTTCTCCTAGGTGAAGGAAGCTTAACGAGATAAGTCTATGGGAAGTTTACTGCTTTCATCTGAATGAAGCTTTTTTTTTTTATCAAATTTACTACCTTTCTTTACAATTTATTGAGAACATTTTGTTTAGTGTGTTAGACTTTGCCCCGTGGTTTGCGAGTTATTTCCTCCATGCTCTTTGTGAACCCATGTTTTGTGTTCTGCTATGTTTATACCGTTTTGTACTTGCCTACATGCGATTCTGAGTGTTGTGAAACTTTTTTTCTGCTTTTTATGACGGAATTCGCATATACTTTAGTGTTATAAAATTAAAGGTTGAAAACTAGTGACACTGCTTGAGAATGTGGCACAACGGTGAAGCGTTATTGTTCCTACTCTTGTGATTCATTTTAAACTGTGATATCTGCACGGGCTGCATTTCAATTGTTTTGTGTCAACTTGCGTGGATACCTGCTTACCTTATTTTTACCAGGGTTCCGTCAGGTACAAGAAGTATCTATGATATGATGTTCCCCTGCTAGTCTGAATAAAATGTTATTCCTTGCATCACCCAAAGACTTTCTTTCCATATGTATCTGAGGCTTTGATAAGGCCACATTTTTATCTTTCAGGAAGAGCTCTTCACCAAAAATGCATAATATATTTCCTGTGCTAATGCTTTCCAGTAATCAAAGTGACTGTATGCCACTAAACATTTGGGCTGGGAATTCTATTCTAGAAATGTATTTATTCATGTATGGCACTTTACTGTGGAATTGTGCATTGTGTTTGTACTCATGTTTCCTTCTTTCATTGTTGGTTGGAGGCTGCAGATTGAATTTCTGAACATCACGGTGACACTAATATATTCCAGGTTTTAACGACACTACACTGTGGTGGCAGGCTGTTTTGGATTACTTCTTTTTCAGTGTGATATCACCATCTTAATATATTGACATTGAAGCGAACTGCCAGCTGCTTTGATGTTAATACATTAGGGCTGTGATATCACTGAAAATTAGTTACCCACGACAGGTTCACAATCTTAATATATTGACATTGCAGCGAACTGCCAGCTGCTTTGATGTTAATACATTAGGGCTGTGATATCACTGAAAATTAGTTACCCACGACAGGCACCCTACCACCGTAAAGTGGTGTCGTAGAAGTCTGGCATATATTGCTGCTATAGTGATGTATAGAAATCCAAAGGTGCAGCCTAGCCTACTGAAGAAACGATACTTGAATGCAAACACACTACGCAACATCCGAGTGAAGAGACACATGAATTGGTGCATTTCCAGAATAGAATGCACACTCCAAATTCTTAGTAGCAGCATCTCGGTCGCTTTGATCACTGGAATGCATTGATCAGCAGCCTGACCAGTAGCCCAGGTCAGCTCCCCTGAAAATAAACAGGATGTCCCACAGGCATCCCCTGGACATCTGAACAGAAAAATCGGATGTCCGAAGGACGTCCGAAAATCCGGTTTCGACGTCCGTGGGATTTTTGTTGGTACATCGATTTCTTTGCACGGGACCATCCTACGGATGTCCCTAGTACGTCCCCGGGATGTTCGTGGATCTCCTACGGACGTCCAAATGTCTGTTGGCGGATGTCCAGCGGATGTCCACCGAACATCTGTGGTCCAATGGGCGGGAGGGGGGGGACCGGGAAGCGTTTGCTTCGAGTAAGAAATTTGGGGATTAGGCTTTAGCGGTTTGGAGGTCACCATGTGTGGTGACCGTGGGGTTGTTGTTGTTCGAGTGGTCGGCGCCCTTTGCGGGGTTTTTTGGAGCCGGGGAGTGGCTTAGGCCGTCTGGGGTGAACGCGGTGGCCGTCTTGTTTTTGCTTTTGAGTTTTTGTTGCCCTTTCTCTTTTCCTTTTGTGTAAAAGTCTATTTATTGGTATGCTTCTATCAATAAAACTTCAGCTGCGTTTGAGATTTTGTTGTGTTCGTCCGTTTTTTTATCGTTCCCCATCTCAGGGTTTACAAGATGACGATTGATTACCAGCTCGCCTGCACTCTCTCACTGCTTACAATCCAAATACCGCCATATCCTGGTGTATATAAGTTTAAATACTGCGTGTAGAGCCCGTTCACTACATATATTGGTAGAAATATACCCCCTGATAATGATATCAGGGCGCGTTTCGGTCGTGCAAGCAAAAATTTATATGTGCTTGCGAAAACACTAGTTGATTCATCTATATTTAGGATTCCATATTTTTTAAGTTTATCTTTCGTGAAATTCAGTGAGTGTTTTTCGGCGTTTATTTTTCGCTGGGAATTCGGGGTTTATCGTACTTTATTTTTGTCAGATAACCAATTCTGCGGAATTCGGAGTTTTTTTTTACTCCATAAAATTAAAAATAATAATAAACATAAATAAATAAGGTCCCTGTTCCATCACCCTTTGCCCCGAAGGAACGTCGACGTGCTAAAACGCAAACCCCTTTTGTCAGTGGTTCTAGATTTCAGAGGAAACTGAATTGAAATTTCCTCGGGATCACTGACCCTGAGCTCTTATAAAGTTCAGTTGTAAAACTCCGTCTTTTTCGCTGTTTATTTTGTCGTTGTAACCCCGAAATTCTGAGTTTTTTTCGGATAAATCCGAATCGAAGAAAATATACAGGCGGGTGTGTTTCGAATTTTTTTCGGGTTTATCCGAAAACACGTAACCCTATTTATATTGCACGGGTCCTATGTAATTAGTTAACTATTGTTAACTTCCTTAAAATGAAGTTATTCCAGATATTTGGACCAAGCAATCAGTTGCTCATTTTGAAGATTGAAAGACAAATGAAATTGGGTGTATATTTGACGTGTAACAATATGACGAAGTGCATAAGATCGGAAAGCGGAATAATCAAATTTTGGATTTTAGATGGCAGCTCTTAGTCGCCCGTTTCCGTGTTAAGCGGTGTCGGCGTCGTCGTCGGCATCGGTTTAACCGCCCCGCTAAATTTAGCGGGAAATTTAATTGGTGCTTCGGTCACGTGATGTCAATTTTCCCTCTAAATCTAGCAGTGAAACTAATTTTTTTCGTGTTTCTCCGCTAACCCGCTAAATTTAGGGGGGAAACATGAACCGTTAGGGTGGAACAGCGCGGATGAACAGTCACACTCACGTTTACGCAAGAAGGAAACTGACTCTCAGCGCTGACTCACAACTCAGTCCTATATTTCTTTATCTGACTCACAACTCAGTCCTATATTTCTTTATCCTCAAATCTTGAACTTCTTCGCCTTCGACGAAGGCGAAGAAGTTTAAGAGTTTGTTTCCTTCTTGTGTGAGCCTGTTTCCTTCTTGTGTGCATGTGAGCGTGACTGTTCACCCGCGCTGTTCCACCCAAGCATGAATTACCAACTAGCCCAAGCGTCCACATTACCAAACCAACCGTTAGCTTACTGAAGATGCAAGACGCTACTTCGTCGTCGCGCATCCTTTTCCCTTCGAACGGCTCCGAAGCCGTTGCGCCCTGAGTACCCTACCCAGCATCTTTCAAAAACCGTTCTCGCAGCATCGCAACCTTCTGTTTGCCAGCGTCGGCGATTCATCGTGTGTTGAAAGTCGGAAGATGTGCACTGTCCCTGGTGTCTTTTTTGTGTAAATCTTTCGTAAATGATTGAAGTTTAAAAACGCGAACATAACCATGTATACATGATTTTAAATTTATTGGTAAATATATATATATATATATATATATATATATATATATATTTATCTATTTATTTTTGGATATCGTGCGTAAAAAATAGTTGCACATCGTGTTTCATTTTAAAATATATTTTGGGCTGGACAGCTTCTTTGGAAGTTCAAAAGCTGAACTTCATACAGCTTCTCCTGTTCTCTCGGTATTGTCAGCAGGGTAAACGCTATGTGTGTTTTAGGCCAGTCATGTCTCCGGTTAGGGTTGCGTGCCAACAGTCTAGAAGCTGGTGATAAAGAATAACATGGCATCTGCCTCAAGCCGAAGGACACACATAGCATTCAGTGCACTATCAACCTTGGGTAGAAGTGGCAAATCCTATCGTTGTGGTCAGTGTTGGGAGGCCCCAGAAGCTAAGCCGATAAGCCTTTTGTGCGTGCACTCCCGTATCGGCCTTTCATTCTCTCCTTTTCTCTCTCTCCCTAAGCTGAAAGCGTGGTAGAACGTGCGCACTTTCCGAACCAACCAGCCGTAGTGTTTGCTCTCTGTGCGAGGGAAATGTCAGGAGCGTGGCCGCGTGGTGTGACGGATGACGCATTTAACGGTTGGAAATCTCGGAATGCGTTATGCCGGACCTAGTTTGGCGTGTGCTGCGCCCTGCGTAGTTGCTGCGGATTTTGCATCTGCATAAAATTCGAAAAGCCCTACCCATATATTGCCACAAAGCGATTTCTTTAAAGAAGCCCAAGAATTGTTTTGGTGATGCGTTTAGTGTTCGGGTCTACAAACGACAGCTTGCGCTACATTCTGTTAAAACTTCACGGACACCTTCCCTCTCGTTTTTGTGTTTGAGTGGTTGTCATGCCCTTGTCAACATATATCTCGGATTACACCTTTCATGTCCGGTATCGTCAACGTAAGTGCGCTGCAACCTTCTTCGCGGCAATTGATCGTTTTCCTTCAGGTACTCTTCCAGATTACCTCTAGAATTACGCCGTGTCTATCTCCTGACAGCCGTAAGA